ACACACCGCAGAGATCTTTTTCAAGACAGAAAGAAAGACGTAAAGCGGGGTAGGAACAGCACACGTTACTAAAACGACTTCTTTACTCAAAGAGGAGCGAGGAGGTGAAGGAAACATTTAAATTGATCGTTTTGCATTTCTTACAGGAAGTTCCAAATGGCAGTCATTTTATAAATTGTCTCTGAAAAGGAAACGCTGGCAACAGAAACGAGAGCCAAATCTATTTTGCATTTTTCTCTCTCCGTGTAAGTGTGAATCACCTTTCTGCTTACGAAGGAAAACCACAGAAACACAATCCCTCCCGTGGATTAATCTCTCAGCATCTCAGACAGTATGTAACTCAGACAAGGGCAACTGGTAAATGCTGGCTAAATGGGTGAGTGAATAATGAAAAGCAAGAAGCAGTTCTTGTATACATGGTCTCAGGATTACAGACAATAAATTCTGACCTCTGACTCCAAGTAAAAGCGTCAATAGAAAATACATTTATTTTTAAATGAATGCTGCGCTAGAGGGTAACAGCTGAATTTAGTTTGCTTCTAAACTCCGAAAGATAGGAACACAGATAAACAGTTCAAAAAAAGAACCAGACCTTTTGGTGTTATGCGGAAAGGCGTGAAAACATCAAGTCAGTGTGAGGAACAAGCACGCTAATTTGTCATCCGTTTCGATCACAAAAGGCGAGGCTTCCTTGTTAGCACTAAGCCTTAATGAAATCGTGTTAAGATATCTGATCTGTCGCCCCTAGTTGTTTACTGACGGAAAACCCAAAACGGGCACCTGTTCTGCTGCTGCCAGACCCGGCTCTGGGTGCCAGGGAGACTGGGCTCTCGGGCCGGGCTCTGGCCGCTCATCAGAAGGCAAGTGGGTTCTCGGGACAGCGAGCGGGCATCAGCACTGCACACACACCCATGAGCCAATGATTAATACACATCCACCCTGTGGCATAACCAAGTGATTGTAATAGGGCATTGTCACAGGACCGATGTTTCCTGGTTTAAAAATAAACGTGAGCATTTATCTAGCAGCAGAAAACGATCATCCCGCAGTACTGTTTTATTCAACTGACACCTTTTAGTCAAAGCAATCCATAACGTGGCAGCATTCCAACGCATCATAATTGCAAATATTTACGGCAAGTTAGATAATAGTTATGTTTTTGTCGCCAGCGTTTTTTTCCTTTTCTACAGATCCGATGCTGACGTTCTCTAACGAATTCCATTGAGAAGAAAATCTGAAGGAATTATATTAATCGAGACAACCTCTCACCCGCCTGCACCATTCCCCTCAGCTACGATGCATGACTGTTCGTGTATGTTCACATCTTCTACTGAATTGTTCAAAATACCCCTGGGATGATTAAAATAATTAAAACGAACCCTTGTCAGCGGCATAGAAAGAGCTAAAAACACCCCTCAAAGGGAAGGTCTGGGGGTGGGCGGCCTCATGCACCCCAAATCATGTTCTTGGAGGCTGAGCCTGGTGTGCTAAGTGTGTGGCCAAGGGGCTGGGTGAGTTAAAGCGTTGTGAGTCTCACTGGACATCCGCGTTCACAGTCTTCTCAGTATGCCGCTCGGCAGAGCCTCCTGATCTGGGTCTGCTATTCCCCGGTCCCTTCGATCATTTCCTTGAGGAATGCAACCTAATTCGGCAACAGGGCCAAGGCCAGAAGCTCGGCTATTTCTAAGCCTCGGCAGGCCACCTCTGTGACGCCCATTCTAATGACCGGCCCTGGCTGCACCTGTAATTCACAAGTTACATAAGGCCTCTGCAGCAAGCACTCACCGCTCAGGCAGGCTGGGAGCCCCAAACCCAGCAGGCAGGGACCCGAGGCAACAGGCAGATGGAAAATGTACACTTCGTCAGCGTCGCAAGTGTGTTGTCTCAGGAAGGAGGAGGAGCATCTGAATGAGAGTCCTGATTCCGGCCACTTAAACTGCGTAAGGTATGGGGCCGGCAAACACACCTGTGTAGCTTGGTCAGTAAGCAGTTAGTTCACCTTGGCTTTCTCACTGTCACCTGAGTGGTTTCTGCTGCTGAAAGGGTCATAGTTAGTGACCCAGGCCCTTGTGGCGGGCTTCACGGGGACTGGTTTCCTTCCAGACGAGAGGTTCTCAAAAGTTGCCCAACTGAGCCTCCCAGAGGCTTCATTTGCTCACGTGCAAAACACAGCCCTCTGCCCTCGGCCGCAGTCGGCGTGAAGACCAAGCTCCCCGAGCGAACGCACTGGAAACGCACGGGGGAGGGACAGCTCTGGGACAACCGCAACCTTTTCTAAAAGGTTCCTATCACAGCAGCCCTGAGGGTTTTAAAAAGCAATCAGGCAGGAAGTCTGCGGGTTCCACTGCAAGTGGGGTCCCCATGGGCCTGACTGGATCTGGGTGACGTGGGCCAGAGCCGCCCTGCTACTCCTCAGGGGACCGTGCAGGCCCGACTACGTCTGCTGGGCTTTTGAAGCGCCCACTTCCAGCGCCAGTGACCACAGCCCAGCTCACTGGGGTGGGACCCCTCAGAGCTGACTAGTGACCGGTCCAGTCTTGCTTAGCTCTTCCTCTTCTAGCCCGGTGGGCTCAACAGCGAGGGGCCAGGGAAGCCACTCCGGGACCCGCGGCCGCAGCGAGGCGCCCCTCAGCGAACCACCACGGCCGGCAGGGGAAGGGGCCACCCCTTCACCCAAGCGTCGCGGAGGCTGGTATTCGAGCATTTGAGGTGACTCTGCGGCCCAAGTCCCATCTCTCTCCTTACTTTTCTCTTCCAAACCAAGGATTTCACAAACAAACCAGAATCGAAAACTTGTAAATGGCCCAGTTCTTTTAGTGAAGGAATTAAATATGACAAATGGCATTATATTTTGGCACGGATTCTGAGTTTGCAAATATAAAGATACGTGTGTGCAAAAAACATAGGCCCATTTGAAAAATGTGTCCTTACATATGGTCCATGTTACGCACACACACAGAGCTTGTTTTCAGATTAATCTGAGAAGCCATTTAGCTCTGAGCTGTATCTGCATTCAGCTGTATCTGACTCCACACAGCCCACGAGTCCAGCACCGATAGCTTTCGATAGCAATTCTGTTCCTGGGATTCGTCTGAAAGCGTTTGGGTTCTCACGGGTCACTGGAGATGCCTCATTTCCCCACTTCTGTGTCATGTAGGTATAAGCTGTCTCTCTAGGCATAAACTGTCCACTGGTAAAAACCAATTTTGATCTTATCCGTATTTATCGCTGCTGGGGCCAGCAATTTAGAAAAGTAGAGAGGGAAAACATGCAAAGTAGGAGAAAAAAATTAAAGCGAGGTCCTCACACCTACAAATAACACAGCCTGCTTGCCGTCTCTAAGAGGCATTGTGTCATGCGAGGGAGCTTAAACCATCCATTTAAAAACTCAACCAGTACACATGGACTGGCCTCTGGACTGCCCGCATCGCGGCATCTGCGAGGTGGAGGGGCCATCTCTTATGCAAGGGCACCACTCTCAAAGGCACCCGGGAGCCAGTGCCCGAGGCGGCGGGGACGCGGCCGGCGCCCTAACCAGCTCCAGCCTCGCTCGCCCTGTGCATTTACCCGTGATGCCACGCAGGACAGAGGGAGCACGCGGCAGGATGCGTACCACCTCGTGGCCTTACTCATTTTCCCCTCTTCAGTCCCTCCAGAAAAGCCCCCAGAACGCACGTGCTCCTCCAGGTTCGAGACCTTGAGTGTCCGTGACACTCTGAGTACCCCTGAAGCTTCGTGACGCCTGCTCTACACACAGCCGCTCCTGACACATCCCTCACTGACCTGGCTGACCGACAGAACATCCCACTGTCCGGCCATGGTCCACCTCCCCTCCCTGGGGAGTTCCCTTCTGCCACTCTGTCAAACAGCCACGAACTAACGTGTTCACCAAGTCCTGACCCCTGAGAGGGAAGAGATTTCACAGGATGTTTAGTTAGGAAGAAGACAATTTTGGATTCTGAATTTTGATTTTTAGCTGCAAACAAAGGCCCACGCCCTCTGAGAAGCTGGAAAGCGGCTCCCGGCTGTGCTCAGGACAGTAGATCAGGTTCAAAGATGCAAGCAGGGGCGGCTGGGCTTCGCTCTAGCGCAGGCACCGGCCAACTCCAGCCTCTCGGGCCAAATCCCAGCAGCTTTTTCACGAAGGAAGCTTTCTCGGAACACGTGGCCATGGCCCTGTCCTCGCGGCTCGCGGACCCTGCTCTAGGGAAGCGGGACTGTGCAGCCCTCCTAACCACCGGGCGCTCTAGAAAGGTCAGTGCTTTGCAGCTCCTGTGCCTGGACGAGCCGTCCGCGCATGGACATGGACGGTCAGCGGTCAGCGGCAGAGGGCGCACACCTCTCAGCTGCCCTTTCGCTCCTTTTCCTCGGTACCTGGAGCTACCTGGCAACTACTGGAGACTCGTTTACACCTGGGCAGCCTGCGCATCTGCAGGCTCGGTGCGATGTGAGCGAGGGGCGTGCGGCCGAGCACCAGCCCCGCCAGCACGCCCACGAGTGCTCAGATGTGCACTCTCCGCGAAGACAGGAAGCGACTAAGGCCAGCAGGCTTCACCTCCCGGCCCCTGGCTATGCCGGGATCACCAGAGCCACACCTGCAGGCCACACTGCCCCCGCCAGGCTCAGGGGAAATGTGGCGCAGCGTGGGAGGCTTCTAAGAACTGACTCCTTGCGATAAATTTGTCTCTCAAAACCCGCCCCACAGTGGAGCCGCGCTCGGCCTGCCTCACGCTCGTCCTGCCTGCGTGGCCCGGCACGGGAAAGGCCTGTGCGTGGACGGAGGGGCCAGGGATTGGAAGCGCAGGGGCGGCTGCCGCTCAGGGTGCTCAGCAGTTTCATTTCCATGCTCTCGGCTGAAGCTGCGTATCGAAGTGATTAAACACACATGCATGTTGTCGGTGACAGGGCGCGCCGTAAAATCGACCATCCTGTGACAAAACGATGATGATGACAAAAATAACAATTCCCCCCATATAGCAAATGTGAGAAAATGACAAAGGAACTCTTAATTTTGGGGCTTTATTTTTTTTCTTTTTAAGATGCTACATAGTCAAACAATTGGATTGGTCTTTCACGTCATAAAATTAACCCACAGTCGAACTCCGTTACTGCTGGATGGAGCGTCTGGAGTCTCCCTCCGCCCCCCACCCAGCCAGCTGGTTCCCTCTCCCCTCGCCACTCTGCCACCCGCCTCGCTCACCCTGACCCCCGGCGAGGGCCTCACGGGCAAGGCCGGGACCAGACTCGGGGCGCGTGTGCTGGGAGTGTGCATGGTGGCTGAGGGCGGGCGGGGAAAGAATGTGGAAGACCAGCTACTCTCCCCCGCTAAAAAGAGCTGACTGTCACTACTGAAAACTGCCCTCCCTACGGTAGCTGTCATCTATTTACACAGGAAAACACTTCCCGGCAGCTGTTCCCCACCATCCAGATCAGCCACACCTCCCCAGCCACGGAGGGGCCCACGGCCCTCCAGCAGCGACGCCTGCTTCACCCACCGGCATTAGGCAGCACGGGTGATTCTTAGGCCACGGCATTAATTATAACCTTGTGACAATAAGAAAACATGAGATGAAATACATTAAATAAGTTAAATGTGCATTCGACATCTCTGAGTAACAGTTCAATCTCACTACGTGAACCAACGGCGATTTAGCTTGGTCCCTTTAAGAGAACAAAGCATCGACTTCACTTCCAAAGTGCTGGGTCAGTCATAGGCCTCCCGCTCCTGACGAGCACGCCGGACGCTGCCACGGGACGGTTCTTTTTGGCTTCTGACTCTGCTCGTCGGTCCCAAGGGACAGACGGCCCGGGCCGAGCATGGAGAAGTGGCCTGGGGAGTGAGCGGCAGCACGGGGACCACTGTGGGAGGTGACAGCACCCCCCACCGCTGGGCCCCAGCTCCCCGAGGGCCAGCACCACAGGCAAGGCAGAGGGTCGTGTTTTAAGAGAGGTAATCCAGCAACATGTACCGAGGCTACAAACGTTTAAAATGACATTGACAACATGGCATTGTCACTTAATCATGATTTCCCTTGTCATTAATAGAGATCATTCTTTTCCCCCAATCATTCGCTATACATTTTTAACTTTCTAAGAGATTGTTACATTATGTTATATTTGTGTGTGAGCAGGTGCGCACACGCACGCGCGCGCACGCACAGGGAGGGGCAATTTAAAGGCAAGACCTGTGAGATGTCATCATACACTGATTTCTTTTCATACACGGCTATGATAAATTTAGATCCCACGACATGGCGGACCCGTCCATCCGACCGGCCGCCCTTCGCCTGCGGCCTCTTACAAGGCGACCTTCCCCACGATGACGCCGACGATGAAGAACAGGACCACCAGGGCGAGAAGCCGGGTGCTGGGGCCGTCCTCCTTGCCGGCCATGGCCACTGCGGGGCCGGGGCTGCTGCTCTGCGCCGTCCTCCTCCTCCGAAGCCCAGCGTCCTCCTACGGGAGCAAGTGCACAAGTCAAAGGCAGCCCAACGCCCCAGCAGGGGGTCCGCGGCCCCGCGTGGCGGCTGGGCTTTCATACTCAGGCTCAGGCCTCCGATACAGTCCGACTTCCTCATCTGGAAGCCTCTGAGGGGACTGGCCTCGGCCACTAAGAGACACTGCCAGGACTGCGGAGTGCGCACTGGCAGTGAGAAAACGGCCCCCACGACGTGAAGTGCAGCGGAGGGACGACCGTCAATGCTGTGACGGCTGCACGTGGTGGCGGGTGGGGCCCAGGCTAATCGGGGGGGGGGTGGTCACTTCATAAATTATATGAATTCGAACACTATGTAACTAATATGAAATAACAGTGAATGTCAACTCTGGTCAAAAAACAAAAATTAAAAAAAAAAATGTATTGCCAGAAGTCCCTCTTCTCTTCCATCCATCCTAGACGATGCTGCTAGTTACCATTTCATAGCACGGATGTGAGCGGGGCACTCCCTGGTTCCCCATGAGGCAAGGAAGGCTCTGGGGTGCGGCCCGGCCCACCTACCGTTCTGCCCACGCCTCCTGGCTGCCCCTCTGTCCCCCTCGCCCCAGGGAACAGGCTTCCCTAACCAAGTCGCCACATTTGTGAAATGATGGGCATCTCCCGAGGCATGAATACAAAATTCACCAAACTGAGAAGTGGGGGGCCTGGGAGCTTTCAAACGCGGAGCTCTGTACATACTTGGTTATTTGACAAGTTACATGTAGACGGCTGGATTTTCAATATTCAAAGATGACATTTGAAATATTAAAATGTGGCTGAACTTGACACATAAATCTCAAATATTTTCTACTTAATACACGGATGTCCCACCACAGGAGCAACATTCTTTTTCCAACATGTCCCCCCCAAGGGCACAGCCGTGTAAGGGACGGGAACCGCCTCCGTCTCTGCTCCACCGGAACAGGCTGTGCCGCTCACTGTCCTGTCCGGGCCCACACCTGGCGCTCGGCCTCTGGGTAGGGGCTGCTGAGCCCCTACTCAGCCCCTAACCCCCGCCAGCCGCACTTCCTCTCCTTCTCCGCCGAGCCCTTCAGTCCGCCCCAGCCTAGGAGGGCCTGGGGACAGCAGGCAGACGCTCCACGGGACTTGTGGCCGCCTCTGCGGGACCTCTCCCTGTTGGTGTGTCCCGCCCCCCTGCAGCCCCTGTCAGCGAGGCTCCTCAAGGGCAGGGCTGCTGCATCTGCGCCCACGCTGCGGGTGTGCGGCAGGGCCTCAGGAAACGTGCTGGCCAAGCAAAGCGATGAAACGACACAAAACAAGAAATCGGTATTTGGCAGGATAAAGAATCTTCCAGTGTCAAGATTGGTCTGATAATATTTTAAAGATATTCTGCTCATGGGGCATGGCCAATATTGCTGCACAGTGATAAATGACTAGTGTTATTCGATTAACTTCAAAAAAAAATGGGCACAGCAAAATACAGCATTTATTTTATTGGGTTTATATAGAAGCTATTTCTACCTATTTATCACTTTAAACGGCACAGAACTCTGTTTCTGAAAAGAAATACACTCAAGAAGAAGCTTTAGGCATCTCTTAGATTTTTAGCCAAAAAGTAAAGTGTCAGCTTCATAATTTACTCCCTACTGAAAGAAGTTACTGAATGAGGCAAATGAAGACGGTGAGAAAGACGATGCCACCTCCCAGTCGGCTCCCCAACACGACCACGCCGTGAGCATGAAAGATGGAACGGTCTGCCGAAACGAACTCACCACGTGCACCTGGTGAGATGCCGGCCAGAGAGAGAAAACCTATTTATTATACGGTTGGGTGGCATGGTCAAGATGCAGAGAACAGATCAGCCTCGATTTAAGCTGCGACAAAAGTTTCTACGATCAGAGGATCAGACACGTTCTCTTCAATATCGTGTTTGAAGCAGATGTGCGCTTAAAGCTGGAGGGCGCCTTAGACGTGCCTCGCGAAAGGACGTTCAGGAGATGCTGTGACCAACCGATTCGGCGCTAGCTCAAGTCTGACTGGGGATTCCACAGCACCACAGGCCTCCTCTCCGCCTCCCTGCGCCACTGGCCTGCTCACTGGAGACCCCTCCGGTCTCTCCTTCCGCAGCCCCCCCACACCTGGCGACTCCCCACCTCCACCCTCTAACACGTCCACAGTCTGAGGAGAACCCTCTGCCCACACCTGCTTAGGAACTTCGGAAGTCAGAATTACCCCTGTGTTAAAACAGTACAGGTCAGCATTTACCCTCTAAAGAAAGATTCTCAACCAGCAGGGATGGAGCGGGGCTTTGAAAATGTGGATTTCGGATAACCACCGCTGCTTTTAGTCTCAAGTCTATTAAAATTAATGGAGGATGGGGTTTTTTGTTTGTGTGTGTTTTTAAAATGGGGACAAGACTGTAAAGAGTTGAGAAACCGGCTCAAGGGACACAGGTTGTTGACCGGGGGCTGGGGGTGTTCAAGGACCCTTGTGAGAACCTGCTGAAAGCTATGCCATTTCTCCCTGGGAGAAAAATGCACACGTTTGAAGCAACTCTACAGATTCGGGGCTCATCAAGTTCCCCGCCCGGACCCCAGGGGAGCCTGTGCCCTCCGCGGGCCATGGGAACCGAGGCCGTTACCTTGAGCTGCTTGCTCTCCTCCCGCAGCCTCTGCACTTCGCTCTGCAGCCTCTGACACTCCTCCATCACCTTCTTAATTTCGGCATCGTCCAAAGAAGAGCTCAGAGACTTAGACATCGTTGGTGTTTCTGTCTTTGATGCAGTTGTGGATATAATTTTATTTATTTCTACATCATGCTGTTCAGAAATAAATGAAAGCCCAAGTGTCACCAACTCTGTAATAAAGGACTTTTTATGCAAAGTAAAGTAGTTCGCCGGACACACTACACGTGGTAGCATTTCGACCACACTGTAATACGTCATTTGTTTTTTAAATGGATCACTTTATCTCGTATCTTAATAATCTAAAGCAACTGGGCCCCAGAAATTATGGATGAGGGCAAATAATGAAGTTGGGCTGATACTAATACTTCAAAGAAAGAGAAAAGGGCTTGCACATTGTACTACCAAATTCCTGCCGAGCAAAATTAGCATACTGTAACTGTGGAAGCTCAGGAATTATTAGCCACAAATTACGGTCGCCACGAAGACCTCAGCTCCCCACCCCCCACACACTGGCTGGGCAGGGGCAGGAGACCTGTGAGGACCCAGGGGGTGATTTATTTCACCCATTTAGAGCTTTGAAGCTGGGCTGAAGGTGAGACAAGCTCAGCGTCTGCGATGTTTTGGTCTGGGGAAGCTCCACCACGCCCCCCAACTTCTGCTGCGAGGACGTGTTTCTGTGCTGTGACACCGCCTGGGACGGGCTGGACACAGTCAGCACGGGGTGGCCGTGCAGGCCCTCAGGCCCTCGGGAGTGCCGCAGGGCTCACGGCTCAGCCGCTCTTCTGGCTCTGCCCTCTGTCCTCCAGATGAGGAGGGTGAGGCCCGAAAGGCCAGGCCCCGCCCACGAAGCAAGTCCCACCGCGGGGAGCCAGGGGAGTGCTGGCACTGTCCCTGAGCGGAGGGACGAGACTAAGCAGTCCTGACACACAGGGACAGTGCCGTAAACCACAGCCCATGTCCGCAGCGCAGTGACCTCCCAGCCCCACTGCAAACGGCCCAGCCAGTTAGCATGCCGCCTGCGGCCCGCACTGTATCTTCAGTGCAATGTGAGTTTCCAACCAGGCTGAAGGAAGGTCCGCACTGGCATTTCAGATACAGTCTTCTGTCACAAGTGAGGCCATGACGGGCTGGCCCCTGGGCTTTACGTGCAGAAGAGGGAGCAGCTAGCTCGGAGGAAGTTACTTCCTCACCCCGCCCCGCCCCCCGCCCTCAGGTGGCAGCATAGCAGGTGACTCTTGACAGGGGCCATGACTAGCCATGTCCGGAGACGGTTTTGGTTGTCACAGCAGGGGGCGCCACCAGTCTCCAGCGGGTGAGGCCAGGCATCATACAAGGCGTGGGACAGCCCCCAGCAGGGCATGGGCCCGGATGCAGAAACGCTACTGTAAGCGCGGGCTGTGACCAAAGGGGGAGGTGGGAGTAGGCGGCACAGGCGCTGCTGACCGAGGGCAGAAGGAAAACCGCCGGCAGCACTTTGTAAAAGAGCAGGACCTGCACGCTTACCACCGACCTGTCGCTTACCACCGACCTGCCCTGCCGAGCACCACGATAAATGACCAATTACGCCCTGCTCGAGGCTCGCCCCGCTGACAGGGCAAAGGCGCCCTTCGGGACCCCAACCCTCCCAGGGCGGCAGGCTGCCCTCTGCAGGGGGACGAGTTATTTCACGAGTTGTCTGTCTGCAGCTTTTCACAGGCTGACTTCATAATGGCACACTTATTTGTTGACTTCAGCTTATTTTTCTCTTTGTACATCAGAAGGAGGAAAATAATTTGCCAACTTAAATCTTGGTTTTGCAGGGGATGGTATGCAAATAAGTATCAGCTTGCAACATTCAATTATTGTTAACTATAAGCATACTTACTGGTTTATCATTTTCTGCTGGCAATTCAAACACACATCTAAGTTTTGAATCCATAAGGTCTTCCGGTTTTGCCTCCTTCCACTAAAACAATTTAAATTTAATAATCAGGATATTATAAAGCTGCCAGAAGAATAATTTTCTGCCTATAGCTGACAATTTCAGAAAAATAGCCTTAATGAGAAAGCCCTGATGTATATCAAATAAAGAACTTAAGTCTGCTGAGATTTCAATATTTTCAACATGACAAGATTAAACACACCAGCGTTCCTGAATATTTATTACATTTCGCAAACCCCGGTCTTGCTGCCTGACTCAACGCCAGCCCGTGCTCCTGCTGCCGCCAGTCTGCGGGATGCACGCAACAGTGACAGCGAGGACCACCGCTGAACGAGGGCCCTTCCAAGTTCCATCTGGACGGTCGGAGGTAGCTCCGGCTCCCTTTAAAAACGTAAACCCATGCTTCTGGGCACACCCCCCGCAGGGAGAGTCGGCCATGCGCCCTGGGCGTGGTCTCGCTACCAACGAGCACAGGACTCGCAGCCCTTCCCGGTGGCCGCCCCCACTGCCCGTCTGCTGCTGCGGGCAGCCTCCTGGCTAACTCCATGTTCTGGGGGGATGCACTCCTGGTGTGCCCCTCCTTTTGGCAGTGGAGGCTGGGGATTCAAGGTGTTCTGAGAACTGCAGGCCAGCACAGCAGGAAGGTTACAACATAGGACAGGAACATGTGCCCTACCCGCACCCCAGGACCATGCAGGAGGCAGCTAGAGCAACACAGGTACTAAGAGCCAAAAATGGGAAACATCAAATACATCCAACAGAGGACCGGATCACGGCAGATCCAGCCAACAGAACCACATGCCATTCAGTGATACCAAGAGCATTTCATGACATGGGGAAAAGCTACAGAACATTAGGTGGAGAAGCTACCAACAGCATTTGAAGTCTGCTCCTCCACACACTCCTGAGTGTACGTGTGCCTGCGTGCGAGGGTCAGAAGTGCATCGGGCAAGGATCATCGCTGGTTGCTAAAACCACTGGGTGAACGCTGGCTGGCGAGCGGGATGTTCACGTGGTCTCCGAGTACTCGATGTACTCAAGATGATCACAGATTACCTATTAACCGCAAGGGGCAAATGTGCCTCGATACGCGAGACAGCTGGCAGTCACCATCCTAAGTAATCAAACTCAGTGTCACCAACAGAAAACAACCAGCATTAAATGTCTTCTGATATGATGCACATATGACATCACCTATGGAATGTCCTTGCCAAAAAAAACACTGAATCTGAATTTAATCACGAGGAAAAAAACTGGATGTCTAGAATGTGGGACATTTAACAAGTCAACTGGCCTGGACTCTAAAACAGTCCAAGTCATGAAAACAAAAAAAAAAGTCGAAGGTATTCTCCCAGAATAAGAACCAAAGGCCATTTTATGAACAACTGGAAAACTCCGCACATGGCTTTTTCTGTTAGGGAATATTAAATTAGTGTTCATTCCCTCGGCTGCGAGAATGGGGCTGAGGCTACATGAGAGACTGTGCTCGTTCTGAAAGATTTAGGGGGCGTGTCATGAAGTCTGTATCTCACGGCGATGTGGTTCAGTAAAAAAGGTTTGTGACAGATATGGAGCAGATTGTGGCAAAATGCTAAATGATGCATCTAGGTAAAGATTATATAAGTGATCGCTGTACGATTTTTTTCAACTTTATATCAAAATTTAAAAAAATTTTTTCATTAAATAAGCTCAAGGTGCTCATTCATTAACTTGGTTAGGTCAAGTACAAACAACTTACAGATAACTTTTAGCTTTATTTTTACTCATTTTTATATTTCCAAAAATTCTACAATGTACATTATATATGAAAATTTTAAACTGTTATGAAAATTATCACAAAAGGAAGTGAGGCTGGCCGTCACGCACAGAGTGCACGGCCCATGGGAGCACTCAGAGCGACCCAGGCACTGTGCTAGGTGCTCCTCACTGAGCACATTTCATCCCACACCTCTGTGCGGATCGGGTTTTTATCTTCTTTTTACAGGTGACCAAATCCTCGAGAGTTAGTGAAAACTGTCCAAGGCCACAACCTTAGTAAAAGGCAGAACTCAGCTCCACACCCAAGACCCCCAAGCCCATGCTCTCTCCATAAGCCATGCAGAAGCCAAACGGGGCACGTGCTTCGATATGCCACGTCTGTGTGTGCCATACATTTCCTCGATCACACAAATTTAAAATGAAAGGGAAAAAAATAAAAATAAAAATAAAATGGAATAATGACACATCGTGTTCTAGGAAATAAAAGGGAAAGTAGTAAATGCCTCAATAATTGTTCTTGTGAAAAGGAAGATGGTTTACTATTGCTGATCTCTCACAAACCCAAAACAACTGACTTACCCTTCATTTCCTGGCCCAAAACAGTTAAACATCCATGAAAATGGCTAGTTTTCCAAGACTCAAAGAAAAGGCCGTGTGGGGTCACTGGGACACAGAGGTGGGCTGTGCGTGCGACACACCTCAGTGTAAAACGCAGACAGAAAAAAACCACAGCGCGGCATGAGTGACAGCACTCAAACTCGCAGGCATTCCTTGGATGACTTCAGTCTCTTGGCCTGGGCTGGCAAGCGAGCTGGACAGGGATGCAAACACGGAGGCGTTCCTGCCTTCCTCCGCCACGCGGCGAGGACCAGGCAATCTGTCCCGGCTGGCACTGTGGACTGCAGAGTTGATCCATATATTGTGATTCAACTCAAGGCACTGGGACGCCTCCTGATTTAGTCAAACGTGGAAAAAACGCACTTTGGAACTTCCACTATAATCTTTTTCCAGAAAAATCAATAATGTGGTTTCGCTTATTTATTTTATGAAAATGAAGTCATCTTAATTTTACCAAAATCAGAGACAGAGTTAAACATGTATTTAAGCAGGAAAAAAAATAAAAGAGAATCTAAAGAAAAAAAGGAAAAAAAAATCATGCTTACCACAACCAAGCCAAAAAAAAAACCTTTTAAGGGCTGAAGGACACTTAGTATTCAACTCTCACACCCCTCTTGGTCTGGGGGACAGGAAGGGTGTGGTAAAAAACGTCCCCCACAGGGAACAGCACCCCTTTCTGTGGGATGCAGGATGGGGGGTAAAAAGAACCTCAAACCATTCAAGATATAATCCGTGAGAGCAAGGGACTGCTGAAGCGAACTGAGATAGAAGAGTCCGAAAAGACAGTATTCTGGAAAGTTACATAAAACGTTAAAATCAAAGTTTCAGAAAAACCGTAAAGAAAGTGAAAGTCAAACCTTTTTGGAAACATCATTCCCCTTTAATAACAAATGTGACACATTTTGAAACGCATGCACCCACAATTCTGTACCTAATCATTTTTTTTAATTACCGAAAAAAAATAAGAAGCATTCAGTACTTACTACTGCTTCCATATCAGAAGTGTCAGTTGGCGCAAACATAGACAGAACCATAAACTTGTGTTTACTTTTCTCATTGGGATCATAATCGAAAGGCTGTAACATCACTGAGAAAGAAAATATTTCATTAGGAGGGTCAGAGCTTGGTTACCAGCGGCCATGTGTTAACATTCGTATTTCGGTCGTAAGGCAATTAGCTAAGCAGGGTTCTCTGTCTGAGCCTCGCGACGCCCCACTGAAGTGAGCGGGACAAGGGGACCAGCATCTCCACTCTTCAGGTCTCAAACTGAGAAAGTGAAGGGACTTGCCCGAGGTCAACCAGCAGGGACCCAGGTCTTCGGAGTCCTCGGCCTCCGCTCGCTGCTGCCCCGTGACGCGGGCGCCTCCCACCGGCCGTGCAGAATGGGAGAACCGGGCAGCAACGCCACTCGCTTGCTCCGCTCTTCAGGAACCACAGTGCGATAACCCAAGGGGTGTCAGGAGCTGCTGCTGCGTCTCTGTCCCATTTCCCACACCAAGGTGATCAAGGTAATGCTTGAAATACAATGCTGTCAGTAAAATGTTATACAATTTTCACAACCAGCACACTCACAGCATGGAGAAATGCCACCAGCTTACAGCCCCTTTGTCGCCCTAAGAACCCAGAGGAAGCTCGCATAGTGACCCCCCTGGGTGAACCCCACTTCTGGCACCAAGTGAAGCGCCTGCCAGCCCTGACTGGCTTCCTCAGGACCTACCCGCTAGGTGACAGCTGCTTTAAAATACGGCACTGCTACGAAGCTTTGGCCACACCGCCCCTCCAGCTCAGTCTCCCGAAGCATGACGCATCTGCATGGGGAAGCCTCCTGCGGCCCTGGCTGTGGCCGTGGCAAGGCCAAGGTGGACTCCCAGCTTCCTGGCTCTGTGCTCGAGGCCACTTATGACCTCGGGTAACCCTCGGGGGGCAGGCGCTGCTGCGGATGCCACGCTGCTGACGACTGTCAGACGAGACGCTGAAGCGCAGAGGTCACGCCACGGAGGAGCGTGCTCGCAGACGCAGGCGGTCTGAGGGGAGCCGACCCCGTCCTTCGCCAGCTGCAGGGCGTCCAGCCTTTCCTCTGGCCACTCCTCAGCATCCTCCTGCCTTTGAACCTCACTTAGGGCTTCCCAGGTCCCCGCTCTGAAGCCTCACAATGAACCAACCCTGCAGCAGGTAAAGGGCACGTGTCCTAAGACTCCGGAGCACAAGGTAAAGTGACTCGCTCAAGATCACAATGTTAGGAAGACAAAGGGCCAAGTGCAGCCCAGCGCCTCTTCTGCCACATCGGTCACTCCAATGTGAGATGGGTTCACATCCTGCACCCCAAGTCCACCATCGCACATCTTACAGAACCACGCATGACAGAGATTAGAAATACAAACACCCCTCACTCATCCGGGGAGTGCAGGAATCCTTCTGATTTGGGGAACAGCGACAGTATTAAACTCTACAGTGCATCGGACTTAAATGCTTCAGGGTCCGCAGCTGCCCAGGCAGCTCTGGTGCCCATGTCACCCATCTGAGTGCTGAGCTACAGACGACCTTGCAAGGAAGAAATTAATAAATGTGCAAACCTTTTTAAAATCCGGGGCACAGAGTCTAGCTACCAATAAAGATTACTAAAATAAGAATGTTTAGTCTAAGTACCCAAAATCCAAAGTGTGACCATCAGCAGAGAGAACAAAAGGTCACTGAAAACACAGGGCCGCTCCACTAGGAATGTATTCCTGCCGGTGTAAAGGCATCTTCTCTCCTGGAAAAGCAGCTCTGGGCCTGCAGTGCAGACAAGTCTTCCTTGGGCACTGCTAGGCTGGCAGGGGCTCTCTCCTCCAGTCAGCCGGGACAGCATGACACTCCTGGCCGTGACACTTAACCTCAACCAGTAGGTCAAAGCCACGAACTCGTCTTCTGAAAGCTAAATTCCCAGTGTCCCCCCAACCCCCAGACTGCAGTAAGGAAGATGACGTGTGATTAACTAAGGAGCCGATGTCTTCACACACACTCGATCTTTCTTAGACAGGGACTGCCAACCCTTTTCCGAGTTGGGTCATACTCTTCAAACTACTGTCAGATTAATGTTCATTTTTAAAAATTAAAGTGAATTGGGTTTTGAGAATTTCAGGTTTTGCGTGGCTGTAAGGAAACCATGCTCTAGTATTCCTTAGCATGGGAAAGAAGCAAACTTCATTCCACACTACGCTGAGACCTCCGGCAGGGCACAGCTCCAGTGCAACGACTGCCTCATCCTTGAGACCCTGCTCTCCCGGCTGGGAAAGGCCCCGAGTCCCCCACCCTGGCGGGCTCTGCGGTGGAACCAGGACTGTCTGTGAAGAGCCCTGTGAAGACGCCCAGAAGATGAAAGCAACGAGACACTGCTAATTTTCAGAGGAGTTGGGTCTTTGGCTCAAACTACACTGGGTCCTACACAGAGAACTAATGGGTCCAGATGACCTGAGATCTCCCCATGTAAACAGCCCTAGGAAGCTCTGCTGCTCCCTTCCCAGTCTTCTCTCCCTTCGAAGCAGAGCAAGTGAGAAAGAAAAGCCAAGAGACCTCTGCTTGGCTAGAACCAACGTCCCAAGAAGGAAAGCAAAACGACCTTTACCAGCACCTATGACACACTAGGTACCACAGAAGGCGCGTATATCATTAGTTCTCCCATTTGGTCCTCAAAGAATCCATTAAAGAAGCCCATGTCTTCATTTCCCAGACGAGAAGGCAGGGCTTAGAAAGGCTAAGTGGCCTCACTCAGGTCCCAAGGCCAGCACATTAAATGATGGAGCCCGTCCGTGCTCCATACTGGCTTTGCCTCCAGAGTCAGCCACCCACACCACAGGTTCTCAAAGCATCACCCACAAACCCGAGGGACCTCCATCAGGTGATCCATTAAGTCGAAACTGCGGTCATGATAATACCAAGACACTGCATGCCTTTTACCCTGTGCTGCCATCCGGCAATGCTGACACGAGAGCTATGGGGAGGGAAACCGCTCGCCCCCGAGCACAGAGCAGGTGTGGCCCTGCAGTGCCCGCGTCTCTGCCACCCTCTCAGTGTTTGCTTTTTTACAAAGGCCAAGTTCACTTAAGAATGTCCTCGATGAAAATGAATCATTTTACTAAATTCAACGTGTGACAGCACATCTTAGCACTGTACCGTAAAACAGCAAGGACACATGAAGCATTTCTGCCCTCTTGGGAAAAGCACTGTGCAATTGTTTGGCTTGTGAGCTGAATGGGACACTTTCTCGTGAAACACCATTAACTTGAAAGAACAACCAACAGAGAAACTACGGTTATTGAGAGGCGGGTGTGTGGCAGATGTCTTCTCAAAAGTGAATGAAGTCTATCGGTGCAAGGAAAGCAACTCGTAAAATCCAGGCTTTCAAGCAAAATTCAGAATCTTGGAAAACATATCTGTCACCAAGAGCTTCAAAGTTTCTCAAAGACTTAAAGACTTTTTCCGATGAGATCGGTGGAAATAACAACAACTGTGATTTTTTGATATTATGTAAAGAAATATGTCAACATTTGGGAGACCTGCAAGACTCAGCTAACAATACCACAAAATGCACTCCAAGTGCGAGAGAGGCCAGTGCATTTGGTGAAACGAAGCCCACACGCGTCACTGACATGGTTTCAGATTCCACACTGTACTGATTTAAGAAAGTGCCACTTGGCAAGTTTTGGTGTAGTGTTAAAGAATAATGCCCATAATGGTCTGGGAAAGCTATTTAAAATACTCATCCCTTTTACAAATACATATCTGTGGTAAAGTGGTTTTCCTTCATATTCATTCACCAAAACAAAACACCACCTTATAGCAGGCTAAATGCAAATGCAGGTGGAAAGTCCAGCTTGTCTTCTACGAAGCCAGACGTTGAAGAGACGGCAAAACGTGTCAATGCCAGTCTTAGTACATTTTTTGAAATGTTTTTCATTAAAAATGTTATTGCTAGCATGTAACTGATTTATTAATGTGATTATGTAATAAATTAATCCTTTTTAGCTTTCT